TCTCTCTCTCTCTCTCTCTCTCTCTCTCTCTCTCTCTCTCTCTCTCTTCGGGCCGCGTCTGAGCGCGCTGGAGACGGGGGGGCCGAGCTGGAGAGGCTCGGTCACCCGCAACCAGGAGCGGGATGGAGAGGGAAATAAAACAAAGTGTCCTTTTTTTAGATGTAGAAAAATAATATTCCACCACCTTAAATGTCCCCTATTTCTTTCGCACTCGCACTACTTTTATGAATGTCAAACTGAAACAAAGAGAGAATAAATGTCCCTGAAATAAAACCTCCGCTCCGTCCCCTGCAGGCAGCCTCGCATCCCCGATTAAAGCCGGGAAATAGATTGTGACAGCAGACGTCCTCCCCGGCCTTTCTCATACTCTCAAAATTAATTTGCTGATTCCTTTTCTTCTCTGCTTGGGACCCCGACCGTATACGTGCACTCTACGTCCCTCACGAGGCGCTTTTTTTTTTTGTTTTTACTCCGTATTATGGCGCGTTTTTATCGCGCGGGTCTGTAATCTCGAGAAGAAAAGCAAAGAGCCCAAAACGGCTGAAGGACGTCGGTGCAGTCAGAGGGCTGCAGTGTGTGCGTGAGTGTGTGTATGTGTGTGTAGTTAAAATGATTCACAGCACCCGGCACTTCTGCGTGGATTTAAACGTGTTATATAAATAGTTTAAATAAGATTGTTGATTTGTTTTTTAAATTTTGTTAGTAAATTTTCATTTATTAACTTTACCTCCTAAAGTTTTGATGTTTGGTCCTCTTAACATCACTATTTAATCCATTGTTATATTAACATCCTCTTAAACCACTGCGCGTCTAAAGAAAATTACTTAAAGTCGTAATTAAACCAACTATTTTATAATGATAAATCTATTTTTATTTAAAGACGTAGTTTATTTCTGGAGTGAATAAAGAGCAAAATGTCCCGTCTTACCTCCGCAGAGTCACTCGGGTGTCTTTAATGTTCCCGTTGAAGCAGAAGGAGTGAAAAAAAAAAATTTGGAGTCATTTCCCTATTTTTCAGTGAATAAGAGCGACGCGCTGCGTAAAAGGCGGCGGCGCCTCCGCGCTGCAGTGCAGCTGAGGATCCTTCAGCCGAATGGATTATCTCCTGAGCTTTGATGTCTCCTGGCCTCACCTCACAGGTGCTGAGCGCCGCTCGGCCTCCGCGGTAACTTCCTTTTTCGTCCCAAAAAAAAAAAAAGAAACTGCACCTGGGGGAGCCCGGGTCTCCGCGTGCGGTGCCCGGGCTCCTATACAGCGCTGTGTTGTATGCATCATCGTTTTAATAAGCACCGACAACATCCCCGCAGATCCCCGCTTCCAATCCTGCCGGCTGAAGGGACAAAACTTTTCCCCCTCCTCTCCTCTCCGCCTAATCCCAGGCTTTACCAGCTCAGCATTAAGAAAAATTCAACTGCAATTTGGGATTAGACAAAATACTCTTATTACAAAAGGTTGGTGCAACTTGATAACTTGATACTTGTTCAGGGGTTTATCTCGGGGTCTTACTCACATCGAGAGAGGAGAGGGAAAAAACAAGAAATAGTGGAAATGTCAGAATAACCCGACTCATTGTGTTGTGAGGGCCATATTTGTTGAATGGCCTTTTTGCATAATTTAACACAGCCTGTGTGTGTGTGTGTGTGTGTGTGTGTGTGTGTGTGTGTGTGTGTGTGTGTGTGTGTGTGTGTGTGTGTGTGTGTGTGTGTGTGTGCGCGCGCGCGCGCGCAAAGGAGAGGAGGGGTGATGGTATTTCGGTCAGACCCTCCACGGGCCCTCTGACTGCTCGGACTTCAGATGTGGAAATAAATAAAAATAAAAAAGGTGCGTAAAAGTGTTTGACCTCCAGTCAGCAGCCTGCCAACACAAACTCCAAATGAACACTCCCTCCCCTCCCCAAAACACCCGTTCTTTTACGACACATTTATTCTCAGTACGTCACCTCTGTTCATGTTCTCACATCATTCGTAGATTTGGAAACACTCACTGTCGCCATCGGTCTGATTTGTACATTTGATTTTGGCCTCCGTGCGTAAAAAGACATGGATGGACTATGTTCGTGTATATTAAGGTGCGTTCAAGTGCCCGTATGCTCCTCCGTGTTCCTGCCTGCAATAAGTAGCATCACTACAGGCCTCCAACATGACGTTGGTCGACTATTGGTGTCTAAGTTTCTCTGTCAAAGTGCTCTCGTCGATGTCTTTTAAGGCCTCCACTTTGATCCTCCTCTTCCTGACACACACACACACACACACACACACACACACGTAAAATGTCATTTCCATCCCTGCAGCTTCTCTCTCTGAACATTAGCTCGCTTTCAGCTCAGACCTCATTTACAGAACTTGATGTGTTTTTTTCTGCAGAGATCCCCAAAGGATAGCCGAGCTGAGCTGCGACCCTCACTTTGTTTTCTGTGTGATGGGTTAAAAAACACATTTAAAAAAGAACCATCGGCGTATAAAGAGCAGGATGTGATTCAGTGACCGCAGCTTCTGCTGCTGATTTTTCTTCTTCGTTTTCCTCCGCAGTGAGTTTGAGGTCTATCCCTATTAAACTTTACGTCAACCATCCTCAAATGTAATTCTAAATGGGGATTAGACCTCATTAATATTCATGAGGACTGGTGTGTGTGTGTTTGTGTGTGGGGGGGGGGGGGGGGGGGAGGAGGGGGTGTATCACAATAAAATCTAAATGGATAAATTTAACTTCTTTTCTCATCACGGAGGAATAAACAGTAAAAAATAAACAGCATTAATAGGAAGCTGAGGATTCTCTACATTACATGAAATCTGTTTTCTGCTGTTGATTAAACTAAAATGCAGCTTTCTGTCAAACTAAGCACCCGTTTAAACCTTTACACCCTTAAAACAACCGTTTTTACTTTAACTTATTCCTCTTGAAACATTCAGAATCGTGTATTTTTTTGTCCTTTGACTGATTTGATGTTTCTGAGGAAATGAAACGACAGGAAGCAAGAAAACAGGTCGTTTCTTTAAAGTAAATACGTTTTAAATGGTGGGAAAGTAGACCGCTTTAGTTCTTTGACAAGACTAAATGCTGCCATTGCATCCGCGTGCAAAAAAAAATAAAATTTGAAAATGTTTCTGTAAAATATCTTCTTAAATTTGGTTTCTTCTTGTACGCGCTTTGGCGCACATGCAGAGCGCAGACGCCGTCTCTCCTGCAGGCCTGTAAAACATTTCCATCTTTTTACAAACCTCTTTGGTTGGTCTGGTCTCGGGACCGGGACCGAGAGAGGAGGAGGGGGAGAGGGAGAGGGTAAGTGGAAGTGGGCTCTCCCGGCTGCCACCGCGGCGCCCTATAGGCCGCCCCCGCCGTCCGTCAGAGCGGGGACGCGCGCCGATTGGCTGCAGGAGGCGGATCCGCAGGTGTCCTCCGCTCATAGAGGCGCAGGGCGGAGAGAAGGTGATCAATCTCCATCCGTCTCCTAGAAATCACCTTAACACTCTGACAGACAACGACAAGCCCCCTGAAAGCAAATGAGTTTGATTTATTTGGCTGCAATAAAAATAAAAGAAGAGAGAAACACCCGGAACCGCACCGAGGACGCGGTGACTCCCCGCGCGCTGATAAACTGCGTGTTTTTCTCCGCGATGCCGCTCCGTTTGCACACTGTTGTTTGTTTTTGAGCAAGTCGGCCGTCGTCTGAGTTTTGTGCCCTGCAGACTTCCCACTGCTGGATACTTTACTGCTGCTCGCGTGTTGTTGCCCGAAGAGCTCGGGAGAAGAGAAGAGGCGGAAATAAACCAGGTAAGGTTTCTCCAGTTTCACGCATTTAAAGTTGGTTGTTTTGTTACGTTTGTCCGCATTTTACTCACAAAACTATTCGTCATTAACAGAAGCGGCTGAAGTGTAAAAAGTAATTAACGTTAAACTCTGTCTGCAGCGAAGGTTTTCAATTTGCACCTCTGCACGTTTATTTAGCGGAGATATCAATTAATCCGCGCCGCGGAGGACTCCGACCTGAACCGGGTAAATTAAGTCAACTTCCTCCGGAGTAGATCATTTTAATATTTCCATTCCAGTTCGTTCCTGCGAGTTTTTTATTTGAGAGCAATTGGCCATTAAAGCGTTTGAACCACTTAGTAGATAATTGGAGAGGCGTGTTTTTGGTTTTTGTTAATTTATTTAGCTGATAAGAGCTCCTCTGAAACGCTCTCTCCCCGGAGGTCTAATCTAAATTCTAATTGAGTTCATTTGCACCGAGATCTCGCCTTCTTCTCTGCGGCCCTGCTGAGGGTTAGAAGCTGCTGGATACACGTTTGGTTGTTTGTGGTCAGTTACGAGCTCATTGTTAAAATAAATCTCTTCTTCACAGCCACGCCGTTAATGCACGCGCTTTAAACTTGTTTTATTCCTCAGAAATTAAACAAATCAAACTGTGATCAGTTTCTCTTAAAGCTCCATCAGGAGGATCTGTTTCTGAATGTAGATGCGCTTCATATTTAAGGTGAAGTTAAATGTTGAATTAGTGGATTCAGATAAAATATTCTTATTTTCTGCAGTAAACTGAGGAAATGTTATTTGTTCCTAAAATAAGTATAAAGCATATTTACTGAGAAACACAAACCAGCTTAAGTAAAAAGTAGGCCTTTATAATATATAACCACAGAATAAACATGCATTTTAAAAGCACGGACATGGATGACGACAATATTTGTGCTTCACAGAAAATATGATTTTTAATCAACTGATCGAGACGTGAAGAAACAATTTCTCTTTTTGGAGTTTGGTTCTGTTCCCCTGAGCGTCCCAATAAAGGAGGGAGCTGACTGAATACAAGCGAGACTAAAGTTAATTCTTACTAACGAGTGAACTGAACTCCTCGTGCAGATCTCAGGTGATTTTATTCTGTTGACGTGAGATCCACAGGAGCCTCGTGCTGCTCACAATACACGCAAAGTGTGACGACCCGAAACAAACACGAGCGACTTCAGACAAACACAGCTGTGATTTATATAGATTATAGAACCGCATCCATAATCCATCTTTATACACGCGTGAGTGTGTGAGTGCAGGCCTACACACACACACACACACACTAAACACACATTTACTCATAAGACTAAAAACGAATTCAAACACAAATGCAGCAAAGTGACGGAACAATAAATAATTCTGCGTTTTTTAGGAGCTAATTTAATTTATACACGTGAGCTCCTTTCAGCATTTTGCTTTCTGACTAAAGCGACACAAATATTTCATTGTTTAAGATCACACTGACATGATGCATTACATAATGGAGGCCAAATAAACTATTTAGGTTTAAGGATTTAAATGATGTAAAATAGTCTTATTTTTTACAACATAGGGAAATGTATGATTACAGATAAACCCGTAATATTCTTTAGGAGGAGGAGCGCTGGTCAATCAAACATTAATGTAGATAAACATTCAATGTTTTCTACAACGCAATGATTTATTGACACAAAACTCGCGTTAACTTTCATCAGTTTCACTCAGTTTTCATCTCATCAGAAGATTTAAATTAAAGCTGAACACGTGAGTTTAATCTGTTATTAACGTTGTTTCATTTTCCTCCGTGTTTTTCTTTCTCACCAAAGTAAATCCAATATTCTGAAAGGATTTAATGTTCGTCTCCGCTCCTGAACCATCAGTTTATCTTCCGCTATAATTCATGCGTTCATATCCTAATAAATAATAATAATGTAATCTATGGGAGCTTTATGAGAGTCAACCCGAACGATGCTTCAGTGCTTTCCTGCGTAAAGACCCAGTTTGCCTCACTGGTTCACCCGCCGAACATAAAGCTATGAGAGATATTTGTAATTCATGGTATAACTTTAACATGTTGGAGTTATTTCTAAACATCCCGCTGAGCATTTAGGATGAAATATGTGCTTTATGTTTTCTTCCTGAATCGTTGGTAATACCCCCGCCCCCCGTGTGCAGTGACTAGGATCGGCCCCCTGTCCCGTCAAGCTGCAGCATCGGGGGAAACCGAACCACTGGCCTGAGCTGGGTGGAGCAGTGACCGCCTGTAGCATGATGTCCTACCTCAAACAGCCCCCCTACGGCGTCAACGGCCTGGGGCTCAGCGGCGCTGCCATGGACCTGCTGCACCCCTCAGTGGGCTACCCATGTAGGAGACGCGCGCGCGCACACACGTTAACACACATTTTACACGTGAATGCTCCCAGTTTGGACCAGTAACAGCTCCAGACATCATGAAGAAAATTACCAAAATATCTACAAATTAATAATATGTTTGGCTGTTAGGCCTCTAATAATAATAATAATAATAATAAGGACTTTGTTGTTATTGTTAATAACTATTATTCATATTATAATATATTATTGTGGTTCTGTGTAATGATAATAATAATAATAATAATGTTTGGATGTGTTTTAAAAAAAGTTTACAGAAAGGAAACAAACAACCATGTAAAATAATAAATGTATATTTTTCTATGAATTGTAATTTGGTATTATAGCTATAAAGTAATTACTCTAGTCTTCACATTAAGTGATTAAACTGTTTATCTTCTACTGGCGTTAGGGAGCAGTTTAAAAGGAAATATTAAATATGCTTTAAGTTCATTCTATCAATTTAAAAATAAAGGTTTAAATTGTCTCTACAGTAAAGAAACTACAGCAGAAATAAAATGTACTTTTTCTCGCTTAATAATGACGACAAAGTCGAAGTAATGTTGAAGTCCTGCGTGTTTTTGAGGTGGTTTTATTAACGTTGTTTTGTTTGTATCTATTATTTTTAGCCACTCCCAGGAAGCAGCGCCGGGAGCGGACCACCTTCACCCGCTCTCAGCTCGACATCCTGGAGTCTCTGTTCGGTAAGACCCGGTACCCGGACATCTTCATGCGCGAGGAGGTCGCTCTGAAGATCAACCTGCCGGAGTCCAGAGTGCAGGTGAGAAGTGACGCGTTTAAAAAAAACTCCCGCCGAAACCTCCGTGTGGAAAAAAACATCCGACAAACGCACGTGGCCTCAGGGTTAACTCTGGAATAGATATTAACTTATGACGATAAATTATGTTATTAGGTAATATTTAAACGGGTTATTATTCTACAAAGACTCACTATTACATTACCACCGTGTCACCAGGTCATTATAATACAGAAACACTTAATGTCACCAAACAGGCTTTAGACTGAGCAGCTTGTGTTGCTCAAAATCAATTATTCGTGATTAATTAAAAGTGGGACAGTTTAAGAGTTATTTATGTGTTTACTCTCTGAGCGCAGTAATTAGTTTTAAACACACAGTTAAATGTTTTTAAATTGACCGTCATGTGCTAATTAACGGCTAACTTAATGCTAGCTTGCTAACTGTTAGCTATCATCGATAGATCAGATCAATATTTTTATGGCATTTATACCAATAAATGTGACTAAAGGGTACTTTATTGTGTAATATAACAGGATGATTATATATCTAAGAGGAAAACAATGTGATGATTTTAGAGCTGCTCACTTGATGCTGCCACTCTGAATGGTATTAAAACATACAGACTGGTTTGTTTATACTGGTTATGTAACTAGGCAGTTTAACTGGGATGGTTGCCTTCAAGTGTCGTGGTTATTTATACAATCTCCTCTTTCTCTGTTCCTGTTCAACTCACATCACTGTTTAACCTCTTGATTCAATGAATGGATCCAGATTAAAATGTTCACATTGATGTAAACAAAGCGATTAGAAAAGCTTACTTTCAATCGAGTATTTCATAATTATTTGATGGAACCTAACTGAAGGCTGTAATATGATCTGAAATATGGGATCTGCTCTGAGGATGTTCAGAGTATTCAAGCAAATACTCTGCAAACAACTGGCTGCTGTACAACAATATTGAACAAATACGACTCTTCAAAGGCTTTCGGGGGGAAAACCAAGGCAGGCCAGTTATTCTCAGAATGCGTGTGTGAAACAAAATGCTCTACATGATCCGGCCCTCTCGAGTTACCTCACTGTGTGGTGAAACCCAAGAGCCTGTTATCTTACAGCCGTCTACCAGCTATGAAATTAGACCCCGTGATGGCTGGTCCGAGCCAAAGGGGGCCGGGGGTGGAAATGAACCTCGATGGCTAATAACCCCTCAATTTCCCTCCATAATGTACTCCCAGCGTGGCCTGGGAGTATCTTCTTCTTCTTTTAAATGAAATGCTGAGGTTGTTTGTGTGCTCTCATGGGTTCTAGGTGTGGTTCAAGAACCGGAGGGCCAAGTGTCGCCAGCAGCAGCAGAGCGGCAACAGCGCCAAAGCCCGGCCGCCCAAGAAGAAGTCGTCTCCGGCCCGGGAGAGCACGGGCTCCGAGAGCAGCGGTCAGTTCACGCCGCCGGCCGTCTCCAGCACCGGTTCCTCCTCGTCCTCGTCCTCCTCCGCCAATCACACGGGCCCGGCGGCGGCGGCGGCGGCGCTCAGCAGCACCTCTACCTCCATCGGCACCATCTCCTCCATCTGGAGCCCCGCCATCTCCCCCGGAAACGCACCCGTTACCGCTGTGGCCCCGCTCCCGGAGCCCGGACCCGCCTCCAACGCCTCCTGTATGCAGCGTTCGATGGCGGGCTCCGCCGCCGCCGCCACCTCCTACCCGATGTCCTACAACCAGACGCCGGGCTACGGCCAGAGCTACCCGACCCCGTCCGGCTCCTACTTCAGCGGCGTGGACTGCAGCTCCTACCTGGCCCCCATGCACTCCCACCACCACCCCCACCAGCTCAGCCCCATGGCGGCCTCCTCCATGTCGGGCCACCCGCACCACCACATCGGCCAGTCGTCGGGCCACCACCACCACCACCACCACCAGGCCTACGGCGGCTCCGGCCTGGCCTTCAACTCCTCCGACTGCCTGGATTACAAAGAGCAGACTGCAGCCTCCTCGTGGAAGCTCAACTTTAACACCACAGACTGCTTGGACTACAAAGACCAGGCCTCCTGGAGGTTCCAGGTCTTGTGATCAAGCTTTTTATCCCCCCCCCCCTTCTCCCTGCTCTCCGGCTCCCCCTCTTCTTCTTCTTTCATTCCCCACATTAGCATATTGCTTGTTTTTTGAAAAGGCAAAAAGAGTTTATGAACCACAAGATCAGCAATCGGACTTTGTTTTTCCCTCCCTCTCTCGTCCTCCACGTCTTTTAGAAAACATATTTAACAAAAACAGAAGAAGAGAAACAGATGAAGTTCTGAGAGGAGAGAACATCCGGAGCAGCTTCCTGACGATGAACGAGTTAACGAAGCTCTCTGGAGGAATACGCTCCCTCTGCTGCACCTCTTTACCTCCGGACCCCCAAATCAAACCCTGTATAGTTTTTATTTCTCAAATTGGTTATTTTAGGATGACAGAGATTTTTAGTCAGCGACGTCGAGGAGCTGAAATATGTAAATATGTATTTGGGTCAGTTACATTGACCATGTTTTAGTTGGTGCGTTTTTTTGTTTTTTTTTCCGAATTTGAAAAATTGTTTATTACCACTTTGGGAGAAAAAAAACAAAAGAAGAAAAAAAACAACGTGTATGTAAATCTTTCCAAAGAGAACAAATTGGCCATAAAGTTCAGCTTTTATATGTTTCACTCAGAAAAAATAAATGTTTTACAATTTGAAATGTCTTGAGGGGAAAACTCTAAAACATAGATGCAGAACTCTTCTGGACGTTTGTCCAGTTTGTTTTCCAGATATTATTATTATTATTGTTATTATTATTCTAACCTCTATACATTCTCAAAGCTGGCCTCCTCTCATTGGACATGTTTGAAACCGCAGCACTTGACTTGATATTTGGAGTCAGAGCGTTTTTATTTTTTCTGAAGAGGAAAAAAATGTGGATTAATATCTCCAGAAATGACAGTAAGATGTTGAATGTATCTTTAAGGAGAAACCACCCTCGCATACATGTTCATCCAATAAAGATCCGTTCAGTCATCTCGATCCTCCGCACTGGATTCTGTCTCACTTCCGTCCAACAACGAGTCATGTTTTACTTTATTTTATTCCAGAACATAAGGAGATTCCTGTTTTCTCTCGTTTTGAATTAGTCACTCTTTTATTTAAAAGCTTGTTGATTTATTTGTATTTCCTCCTAATTATAACGGGGTAAATGCAAATGAGTCCATAATTAATACGAGGGGCCTCGCGCATCCCTGTGTCTTAATCCTCTGTCTTAAATTGAAACACGAACGTCTCCCCTCGCTTCAGGGAGACCAAGTGTCTGTTTCTCTCTTCTTCTTTTTTTTTTAAACTGCAGCGTTAAAAAAAGGCCCTAAATATTGAGCCGCGAGACATTTGATCGAGGCGTAATTGAATGCAGCGCGTGATAATTACTCCCGCGCCCTCAGTTGGTTTTCTCCAAAATAACCTGCAGGAATTCTAACCGCCTCTGATGCGTAATTGCGAAGGTGGGGCAGGTTAGGGGGTCAGGTGCGGGCGTGTGTGAGTGTGTGTGTGTGTGTGATGCTTGCAGGCATACACGCATTATAAAAGAGGGGGGGGGTCACTGAAAGAAAACATCGCGTCAGTTCTCTGGCGAGGTTGTTTCTGGAGGAAAACATCGCTTCATGCAAATTAATTTCCCCCAATATTTAAAACAATCAACGTCCTTCTGTAAATAACTTAACCCCAAAACAGCAACGTTTGTGTTAATTAGGAACTTTTTAATTAATTTAACTTTTTAGTGTCCAGTCACGAGGATGTGTGAGGGCTGTAACTATCTATTACTTTTATTAAAAGCTTAGTTTGACACATTTATTAAAACAATAAATCCATTAATCGAGATCATGAAGTGAAGATGTTTATCACAATTAAAGCTCAGTCACAACCCAAAATATCCACTAACGCACAAAGAGAAGCAACTACTGGACATCAATCATTATTTTAAAATGGCTCGCTCTCTCTCTCTCTCTCTCTGTGTGTTTCTCTCTCTCTCCCCCCTCCCTCTCTCTCTTTATGTAAATGAAGGTCGCAGCTGAATAAATATCTGCTGATCAGAACGTTAAACATGTTTGCGCCAAGACGCGCAAACAGCGCAGCGAGTGTCCACGAACAGCGGCGGATTTGTTCGGATTTGCATCAAACAAACATTCGCGACCAAATCTTGTGTTTTTTTTAATTCAAAGAGGGTTTGAGAGAGACACGAGACAGCTGCTCACCTTCAAACGGTGGAACCGTATTGAATGTTTATTATTGAATGTGTCCTCTGAAGGAGAGCAGCTGAGGGCCGAGATGGCGCAACGAGCAGGAGAAGTTTCTCTGCAGCATCCAATAAATAACGAAACAACAAAATGTTAATACAAGTAGAATAAAACATAAAAAAGAGAATTATATTTCAAATCGCTTTGAACGCATGAGCGACTCGTTTCATTTCATTCTCTGGAGTTCCTGCAGCTGTTTGTGCAGAAACTGTTTCTTGTATTTAAAGCGTTTGTCATTAAACGAGAGAGAGAGAATATTTCATTCTCACTTCAGTTCACTTCTGTTTTCAGCTGCTGGTTGAATTTACTGTTTTAGAGACAAAAACATAGAGAATATTTTTCACTTAAAGTCAAACTGAGATGCTTTAAAATGCAGAAAGATGCAAACATGTTAATTAGTTTAAGTTTATAGAAGACAACCACCAGCACTTAAAATGTATTTTCTTGTTCTACTTGATGCTTGTTTATGTCTATGTGGAGAGAATAGTTTGAACTAGAATCATTAAGAGATTAATGTTGAATTGTTACAGTGCAGATGTGTTGGTTCACTGTAAACGACTCAAACACACATCAGCTGGATTTACCTTTCAGGACAAGTCGCACTTCAATGTATTCAAATATAAAAACATCTTAGAAATAATCATCAACCTTCTCTCCAGATTATAATAAACTTTTCTATCAACTAAAGAACAAATAACTTTGTTTTCTCCTAAACTTTCTTTAAATGTAACATTCATCAGATTTTTCTACGTTTCCTCGTCCGACAAACAAAAGTATAAAAAGACGAATACAAACGATATCATCTCATAATCTATAATCAAATAGTTCCTCTCTTTGTTTGACACCTTTGTGTATTTTTAGAGATGCAAATTCTTGGAGTTCTTTGTGTTCATCTAAAATCTTCTCAGAGTTCTACCAGTTTTATTTTGAGGTCAAATATATTTTAAATCGTTTCTCACCCAAAAAATGACATGTCATCAGTTCTTTAGTGTACGCAGGTTATTGGACCAGTTCATCACTGTGTGTGTGTGTGTATGTGTGTGTGTGTGTGTGCGCGCGCGCGCGCGCGTTCAGTAGGCCGATCGATCGCACTGCGTCGCCCGTTGTCAGCCGGTGTGTGTGTGTGTGTGTGTGTGTGTGTGTGTGTGTGTGTGTGCGCGTGCGCGTGTGTGGTTTGTGAGGCCTCGATAACGTCGAGGTCGGAAGGACCAGCAGATGTTCTGATAGCAGCTAGGCATGCTGGGACTGTTTTCTTCTGTTTCCATGCAGGACAGGAAGGAGAAAAACAACAAAACCGGTCTCTGATTGGCTGTCGACTGTCGCCAGACTTTGGCTTCGCCATGTGTTCATAGGCCGAGCAGTGAGAGGTGATACAGAGGAGGATTGTGTTTACCTGGGAGGTTAATCAGGGGTCAACTCTACACCTGATGTGGGCGGAGTCTAAGGCCTCCGTCTCCGGTTTCTCTGTCAGAAAAAAAGGGTTTATTTTGTTTTGTTTAATGTCAAGTCTGGGCAACATGAAGCCGGTATAGCTGCAGTGGATTTTCTCATCTCCTGGTTTGACATGCAGGTAAATAAAGACACCTCGAATCCTCCGTCCAAACTCGCAGAAGGTGAGAGTCCCGGTGGTTCCTGTGAGGAGTCCAGGTGGAAAGCAGCTTAGTCATCCCCACACGAGGCACTGAGAGCGTTGGTGAGATTCCCGGTGGGTTTAACATACTTTAGATTTAAGTTGAGTAGTGGACACAGTCGGGACCACGTCGAGCCTCTTTCCTTTATCTTCTGGAGGGAAACTCGTCCCTCCACAGGAGAGGAATCGCAGGAGGATTTAGTCCTTTGGTCACCTGACTTCAAGTGGTTTTGGGATGTTTTCCTAAACCTAACAAAGTATTGCACCATCTTTTCCTAAACCTAGATCGCTCCGTTAGCGCTGTTAGCATAATTAGCTATGAGCCACCAACTCAGCCGTCGCCATGTTGAGAGCCATTGAGAGGCAATCAAAATGCTCCCAATCAAATTTGATTTTTTTTAAGTAAAAAAATCAAATGTGAAAATGCTTGTTCTCGTTTGAACATTGTAGTAAATTGAATATTTTTTGTGGATTTGGATAAAACAAGACATTTGATTAGATCTTGGAAATCTGAAATGTTGTGATTGGCATCTTAAATGGGCCGAATGATTGATTAGGTTTCAGCCTCAATGACAACGTAATGTTTAAAGTTGAGCTGGTGCATTGTTTAGCCTGTTAGCATGCTAATTAGCACTGAACACAAAGTACAGCTGACGTCATTATCGATCAGTAAATTGAAGGATTTCCTTCTCTTTTGAAGTAGTTGATGGGAAACCAGACAAGAGTTGACCGGTGGAAGCAGTTCTTCTTCTTCGGTCTTCTGGACAGAACGACTTCCTTCATATCCTGAACCGGTTGCGTCAGAGAGAGTAGGGCCGGAGCAGAGAGGCATTTAAGGGAGGACTCGTGTTATCTCATCTGGAAACGATGCGGCAGCATTCAACCCTCGTCCCGAGTCACAACTTGTCTTTTTCCCCTGAAGCCCTTCAGACGTGGGAAAGCTCAATGGAGGCTTGTTGGGCCTGCAGGCTTCAGTGTTTCCCACCGACGTCGTCTCCGTGTGTCAACAGATCGCCGTCTGACCAGTCGGTCACGTTTCCTCCTTTTTAGTTTGTTCTAAACCGACAATTCTCTCCACTGACAACTCTCAAGCACCCGAAACGTATCGATACACATTATTATTGATATAAATCTAAACCTTATTCTTGACATTTGACCCCGTAAAAAACACAGATATTTGCCTCTGAAGGAATCTGAAAAGATATTTTGTGTCAAAATAGTAAAAAATGAGCATTTTATCCCCCTTTAGATATTTTTTTAGCAGATTTCTGAAATTTAAGATTAAAATCTCAACAGAACATTAGAGTTGATGATATTTGACCAAAAGTTGAAGACTTATCTAAACTTTAATCTCTGCAGAGTCTCTCCGACCTCATTCTGAGCTGGTTTTAATCACAGACTATCACATTATGAGGCCTTTTAGTCTCACAGGCACAAACAGATATTCAATACAGATACGTTGCACCATAATTAAGTAGATCTCATTCACTGAGTTGAGAACTAAGAAAACTCGACTCTCTTCTGTAATCTGAATAAGATCTTTTCACTCAGTGGAGAGTGATTTAGTCTCTGTGACGTCTTTAATTGTCCTGACATTTTCGTCTATAATATTTTGGGGGATCTTGTGAAACAAACCTATAAAACATAGATCACCTCCCTGAGGGGAGACTTGATCAGCCGAATCAGAGCCATCATTAGCTGTGATGAGGCCTCCGCAGAATCACTGCGCAGCCGCTGTACAGAGGAGAGAATTAAAAAACACAGATAACCTGGATAATAGCACGTGCCGGAGGCTTGACTCATTTCCAAATGTTAACGAGGCCGTTTCACAGCTCCAGCACGCGCTGCAGTATGTTAATACCACTAATAAGCCTATCTCTGCGAGTCATCTCGGAAGGCAAAGATTTGAGCAGAATAAAGCTGCGGGGCCACATTTTAAATGAAGCATAACTATTTATGATTTTTACAAAGCTGACATAATTGCTTAAAGGGTAACTGAGGAGAGGTCTCGTACTTTGTTGTATTATGAAAGAGCAGATTTCACTGTTTGCATGTCAAAAAGGTTCCTGAGAGATGGGAGGAGCCCGTGCTCGCCTTTTAAGCAATTTTGCAGCTTTTTATTGGAGCTGTCAAGTCAGACAATCAGCAGATAATGCGGCCTTGGTTTTTAAATTATAACACGTGTCAAGAGACGCACTGAAGGCACCGACAGATGCCACTTATCTCCGGCGGCCTCTGCAGTGTGACTGTATCATCGGAGGGGAAATATAACACGCTGTTTACATAAGAGAAGTATTAGTATCAGTCACAAATGTAATTCCTTTCACCTCTCCCTCTCGCGGAGGATCGACTCCCCAAAAACATACAATGATTTGTTAAAGCTAACGAGAAAAAAAAAAAGAGCAGAAAAGCATCCTCGCTGATCTTCTGTCCATTTCTCAACATCGCTTCTTGTTTTTTTATTTTTATTTTTTTGGGTGGAAATCCTCTTAGAATGCAAAGTAAATAGATTACGATACAGTGAGGGATTAGGGCTCGCGCGGCGCTGTCAGATTAGTCGGTGAGCGCCGCGCGCCGACAGCTCTGACACGGACATGGCTGCTGTTCAGGAAAGGGGCTCCGCGCGACGCTTTAAAGACGCTGGTTGGCTCCTGTTCATGAATAAAACTGGCCCATAATCTTGGGCCGACACACACACACACACACACACACACGCACACCTGCAACATTCAATATCAGAGGTGATGGAAGTATAATACAAGTCTTTATTTTATTTTTTCAGGCTGATTAATGAAAAGGTTTAAAACGTTTTCAGGCGTAACCATTTCTCTTTCAAGGTTCATTTGGTGAAGACATCACTAAGACAGAAAATAACCTGAATTCACCTCCAAATGTCACAGTTCAGATCCTTTTTTTAAAAGTTAAAATTGTACAACTTACTAACAAAAGTGCTAATAGAAAACTAATGTGTTTACGTAAAACACATGTATTGTATTCCTCTTTTATCAGATATCAGTCAACTGCTCTATCCAGGTATTATTACAGGTGAGTCCTCCACATATAAACATGCAGATAAAGAAAGTCTGTTATTGGTGAAATGTTGTTGTGTCTCTTAGTTGGTTTCTTCAAACCATTCCTAGATGAACGACATGAAGCAACCCGAGGTCTCCGCCGTCCTGAGAGAGAGAAAGAAATGAGAAAGAAAGAGAGTAAAGTTAGTTTTATAAATCTGAATTAACCATGTTTACATATGAAGACAGCTGATTATCAGCACATGTTCGGCTCTTGTGATCTGAACTTGTGCTTCATGGATCATTTTACCGTTAAGTGCACCGAGAACTCCCAATTCACCTGTTGATCTGAATCTGTACCGTGCTACTCTGTCCTATTTATTCGACAGTCACACATCTGACAGACAGGAAAGACAGAATGTTAACATTAGGGTCCGATGTTTAAGTCTTGAAGCCTTATGCCCCATTCATTCTTTAAGTAAAATTAAATTTAGTACGACGTTTAAAAAAAATGAAAAAAAGACCAACAAAACTTCTCACGGCAAAAAAGTTAAAGTATGTCGAAAGAAGTCATTGTGTAGCATGTCGAAAAAAGTCATAGTATAGCATGTCGAAAAAAGTCATAGTGTACTATGTCGAAAAAAGTCAGTGTACTATGTCGAAAAAAGTCAGTGTACTATGTCGAAAAAAGTCATAGTGTACTATGTCGAAAAAAGTCAGTGTACTATGTCGAAAAAAGTCAGTGTACTATGTCGAAAAAAGTCAGTGTACTATGTCGAAAAAAGTCAGTGTACTATGTCGAAAAAAGTCACGGTATAGCATGTCGAAAAAAGTCAGTGTACTATGTCGAAAAAAGTCAGTGTACTATGTCGAAAAAAGTCAGTGTACTATGTCGAAAAAAGTCACAGTATAGCATGTCGAAAAAAGTCACTGTGTAGAATGTCGAAAAAAGTCACGGTATAGCATGTCTAAAAAAGTCACGGTATAGCATGTCGAAAAAAGTCATAGAATAGCATGTCGAAAAAAGTCATTGTGTAGAATGTCGAAAAAAGTCATAGTATAGCATGTTGAAAAAAGTCATAGTATAGCATGTCGAAAAAAGTCATAGTATAGCATGTCGAAAAAAGTCACGGTATAGCATGTCGAAAAAAGTC